CCCCTGCCTCTTGTTGCCTCCTACAGAGGCAGTGGGGTAAGGGGGGGCAGGCAGGATCCGGTACTAGGGAAAGGCAGCTTAAAAGCTGGTTCCCCATTCCAGCACCAACTCTCCAGTGCCGTCTGCCCTCCCCGCACTTCTAGCACGGGGGAGGAGGAGAGTGTGGTCGGGGAGGCTGTTTCACAGCAGTCTCTGTCCATGGGGGTCTGAACTTCTTGCAGACCAAGGCTGCTCTACAGCTCAGACCCCATGGACAGGGGCTACTGCCACCCTGTGCTGCTGCCTCTGTATTGGAGGCAGCAGCGTGCAGTGGCAGGGGGCTCCTTGGGAGTGGAGCTGGTAGCACACTGGCTGCTGGCCCCGCCCCCACCCTCGCCCCCAGGGACTATCAACTAGTCGTGAAACTGCTAAGATTTCATGCGGGTGCACAACTATTCAGTTACATGATAGCTAACATCCCTAGTGTACTATATTCCTGCAAGCTTGCTTCTTCTACTATCCGGTTGGGTGAGCTTGAGGTAATTTGGGAGCTCTCTTCAGCCATGTGTGCTAAGCAGGTGCCAGCCTCTTCTATGCCTAAAACTGGACCAGAGTGTTCTGTTCCCAAGCAGTAAATTTCCTCAAGCAGATGCAGTCAAGAAGCAACGCTGCATATAAATAAGGACATCACACAGCAGTGAAATTACGTTGGTTTTGTAAATAGAAACCCTCCTTCATCTCATTAACTGCTTGGGGGGGTGGGGTTTAATCTGAAAGGGATGATGTTTGTTTGAGGTTACTGGTGTAGATGGGATTGTTCTCATCTCTGACACGAATTTCTCTCTCTTTCAGGGAGGCATGCCCGAAACGCTGAGCTCTACCAGGATGTTTACCCCCTGTGGCTTCAGTCCTCATCTTCACTCGGCAAAAGAAGATGATCAAGGGGGACTGATCTTCCAGGACGGAAATCTTGCCTCTGCATCTCTTGATGCTTTAATCCAGCATCTTATACCTACAACTGATTACTACCCTGAAGTAAGCAATTGAGAGTAGAGCAAAAAGTTTATTGTCGGTGGGGCAGCGCTTTGTGCAACACTGGAAGTGCATGCGGAGTTTGAAATTAAGCGAGCTTTGTTAGCGCTGCCTACTGTTAAAGCTTGGCAAATGGAGGCACTGCTCAAAATGCTGCTGCGCTGCTCTATGATTAAGTTTCCACGAGCAGGCTTCGGGTTGGGGATCTGGTGCCTTTAAATAAGATACCAGAAAGTACAGCTCTGATGTCGATGAATTAGTGAGCTGGCAAGTAGGGGCGCTTCAAAACCAGCCAAGCCTCCCAGAGAGGTTTAGTGCGAGACTGAAGCAAAACAGCTCTACACTGGAACAGGCAGTCAATTTGCAGACTTTCAGCAGTTGCTAAAATGGCCCAGGATTCTGCATGTGTTTGTGTGAGGCTTTTCCCTATTGAAATAGAGCCATAGTTCATGACAGTTCATAATAGTCACCTAGGATGCATTGTGTACAACATTCTTACAGCCTCTGGGCTCAAGGGCCCGTTTGACTATCCTCACCTTGGTTCCACCAGTGTAAATCCAGAGTCACTCCACTGATGCACTGAGAATCTAATCCAAGCAGCAAAATTCTCTTTTGCTCCAACGCAGCTGATTGACTTCAGTGGATTTGCACAGCCCCAGAAGAATTGAGAGCAGAGTTTGACTGGAAGACTTTTCAGCACTAATGTGTCCCAGGGGGCAGCTTGTATTATGAAGGATTGTAGAGTGTGACTGACTTGCTGCGCAGTTAGAAAGTTACCCGTGCAGCACTGGCTGTGTCTTACATTAGCAATGGCTGCGTTTCTGATCAGCCGAAAATAAAGAGATTAGCTGAAAAATGAGCAAAGCAGTCAAACGAGGTAATGGACACCTTCGGCTGTTGGGTTCTTAGTAGTCCCAATCGGTTGTGAAATATTTCAGGAGCGTTGGTGGCGCTGCAGGCCGGTAACCCAAAGCGACTTTGCACAATATCTGAGGGATTCTCACTTGAGGTTTGTGCATGTGTGTGAAACTCACTGTACACATATGTTTGTAAATAATGAAACCGACCTGCCCCTTCACAGCTGCTGTGACTCAGAAGACTGCCGATGACGTTTCCACAGCTTGGCTCGAAAACGTAATCTGGAGAGTTGTTAGAGTAAATCTTAGCAAATCCTGGCAGGGCAGCCCTGCGATCTAGCAACCAGTCATTGCCCTGAGTCTGGAGGCCAGGGATGGCAAGAGCTGGAAACAAAAGTTATGGAAGTGGCACGTGTTGCTGTGGGGAGAAAGGTTTAAAGAAGGTTGGCGTGAGAGGGGAAGGATGGTCCAGTGGTTATGGCACTGGGGCTTGGGAGAGCTGAGTTCAGTTCCCTGCTGTGCTACAGATTAATCCCTTAATCTCTGTGCCTCAGTTTCCCATCTGTAAAATGGGGACAATTGCCCTGCCCTACCTCATGTGGATGGAAAAGGGGCAACATGAAAATAAAGGCACTCAAGAGAGCATGCGATACATGATAACAGGGGCTATGAGAGATGTCATAAGCTCTGTTGTCAAGATTGGCAATCCTGGTATCTCTTAGAAATGCTTTTCTCATTGGTACCAATGCCATTCTAATGACTCCAGTGTAAGGGAAGAAAATTTTGTCCTCGCGAGTGTAACTGTTTAGAAAGAAAGATGCATGTTCGTTCCCAGTTGCTGAGTTTCTGCTCTGTTGCAAAGAAATGTAATAAGTACAGAATAAACGTCTGCCTTTAGCCAATGGGGATATTATACGTGACCCATGGGCAATCAAAAGCAGCCCCTGTTTCTATCTGTGTATTTATATATGCAAATATGTGCAAACTCAAGGCAGAGACTGGACTCTAGTGATGCACACTTGTAACCAGAGGAATCAGCAACATCCCTGTCTTGTGACAAGGAGAAAATCTAAATATGGATTTCAGGATGTTTTCTAGTAAATGTTACATGCAGTACAGCTGGCTTAAAACAGGACTGACTGTTTTGTTTCCCCAGAAGGCCTATATCTTCACATTCCTACTGAGTTCAAGACTCTTCATTGAACCTCATGAACTTTTGTCCCGAGTTTGTCACAAGTGCATTGAGCAGCAGCGACTGGACGACCCAGTGCTGGATAAGGTTAGTTCTTTTCTACCACGGGAAGGTTTGTGGCATTTGCAGCAAGCTCTAGGGCTGTTGGAGAACACTGCTGATTGTGTCCTTAATGCAGCCGTCCTTCTGTCTCCTCCCTGCCTGTTACTGTTCCCATATGGGTTATTGTTTCTGGGAGCCTGACCTAGTGGTATCCTACTAATGCCATCGATAACCAAGCTCAGAGCTCCAGACACTAATTGCTCTGAATCCTTGTCTAAGCTCCCTTTCCCCCATCTCAGCTGTCCTGAGTGATCTCCCTTCGTATTTATTTAGGGCTCTGTTCAAGCCTACAGGATGCAAGGAGGTAGGAAAAAACCTGCACACTGTCAATTGCTCATGTCAGCCAACAACTGTCTTCCCTGTTTTTACTTAATCTGTTAGCCCTTTTCCTTTCTTGCTCCTGATACAGGTTGGACCTCCCTAGTCTGGCACCCTCGGGACCTGACCAATCCCGGACAAGGGAGTTTTCCAGACTAGGGGAGGTCTGGGACAGAGGATGCCAGCCTCCCTGCTGGGCTCCTTTCCCCAGCCACCTTGGCTTCTCTCCTCTGCCTTCTGGCCCCACCAGAGTTTCCAGTGGCATCACGACCACACTGGCCTCATGGCAGCTCTGTCACCCCACCAGATCTTCCAGCAGCCCCTCTGTCGTCCCTGCTCTTTGGGCTGCTGGCTGTGGTGTTCCACTGCCCTGCTGGCCCCGCCAGCCAGCTCCACTCCAAACCACCGGCAACCTATGCCACTGGGGCTCTCTAGTCCCACAACATCTGTGGTCCTGCCAGACCCCAGATGTTGCCGGACCAGAGAGTCCCAGATGACAGAAGTTCAACCTGGACAGTGTGTAGTAACTCCTTTCTGGCTTACCTGTCACTGTGATCGCCACATAATAGAGTGCCACTACCCATCAACCTCCCGGTACCTGTTCTGACAGTCTATTCATACAGCGGGGCTGGAGAGCACTGCTGTAGCTAGCATGCAGGGAACCCCAGGGAAGTCATTGGAAGGTGGTGACAAGCTCACAGACTGAGAAAATCCAAGCTGTGCTTACATCCTAGCTCCCCCTGTTGTGCCAAAGAACTGTAGCAAGTTCGGATATGGTACCCAACCAGACACGTGCATCCTCCGGCCGGCTAAGGGGTTTTTTTCGAAAGGAGATATGCAAATTTGGCACTAATTTGCATATCTTCCTTCAATCGCTTTTTTGAAAGTGGGTTTTTCGAAATTGAAAGTATTCTGAAAGCATTTTTTTTTTCAGAAAAATAAAACCCTTTTTCGAAAAACTGCATAAACCTCCTTTTTTTAGAAAGAGAGCGTTTTTTTCAAGAACCCTCCCATCCAGACTCTCCCCCTCATCCAAATTCCCACAGAATGTGCATATTGTCTTTCAAAAAATCTTTGTAGTTTAGACATAGCTTAGTCTAGACATAGCCGCAGTGCCCAGGTGCAGCAACTGAGGTGGTTGGAATTGAAACCATGTAACTCATCCAGTTCCAGATTCCACCGCACCTTTTATGAGGGTGTCAGTGAGGACCAGCATGGTATGTTGACCAGCCCTGCAGGGGCTTGTTCCTGAACCGCACTTTGGTCGATGACAAGCGTGGTGGAGCAGAGACCCTTGTGTCAGCCATTTGATGCTATTGTTACTGAAACACCAGCATGATAAAATTATTGTCGGTCTTTTAATCTCTTGCTTTCAAACTAGCAAATCAAGATTGTGCCACAGCATGAAACCCTTAACCTCAACACACTGCTACCTTGTGGCCCCTTTGTCCAAATTTGTGCACTCGCTTCTGTGCGGACAGTTGATTGCATGTGTGAAAGCAGTCATCTCTCCAAGTGCCTGGCCATAAAAATTGCGGCCTGTGGGTTCAAGAGTAATATTTGCCTGTGTTCCCGAAGTCTGAAACGATGGCGCTGTGGTGTGAAGTGCTGTAATAATTTATATGGGTGCCAGCCAATATTCCCTTCCCCCCATCCATGTGCAGAATAAATTTTGTTGCATGCACTGAGGCATATGCGGATGTGCACCGCCAGTAGGAATACATGCTGCTGGCTGTGGGCACTCTGCTAATCAGCTTGGCGGCATTTGAATCTCTCCTGGGTGGCTGTCCAAGCACTCAGCTCACAAAGAAAACTGGTGCCATTTAGGGCCATTTCAGTGTGAGCATTGTTACATATTCCACAGCTCATCTGAGCGTATAAGAAAAGCCAGGACATACTGTATTATGAAGATCAACCCAAGCTACCTTGGGGGGAGTTCAGGAGACCGGATGCAGAGAAAGGGGAGTAAAGCTGATTTAATTTCCCAAAGGTGGGGCAAAGCTTGCCAATCCCGGCTCATGACAGCCCTCTCCACCCATCCTCAGCAGCAAACACTCTCTCTGGAGTCATGTCCTGTGACCAGCACAAGCTTCTCTCCTTCAGTCTACAAGCTTAGTTTGCCCCGCTGGACAAAACACTGCTCCCAAATCCTTGCAATTTCCACCAGAGCCTTCTCCGTAATAGCCACTTGCTGATACTCAAGCATGTGCCTTTTAATGCTACTTGGCAGTGACTATTTAGAGACTTCCTGGACACTATAGTACAAATAAATGATGGTCACATAAACACCACCCTATACCAGAAACCTACTGACTGTTATTCTTACCTACATGCCTCTAGCTTCCATCTAGGGCACATCACACAATTGATTGTCTTCAGCCAGGCCCTAACAAACAACTGGATTTGCTCCAGTCCCACAGACAGAGGCAAACAGCTACAAGATCTTTATCAGGCATTCTTAATGATTGTCTACAGCCAGGCCCTAACAAACAACTGGATTTGCTCCAGTCCCACAGACAGAGACAAACAGCTACAAGATCTTTATCAGGCATTCTTAAAACTGAAATAGCCACCTGGGGAAGTGAGGAAACAGATTGACAGAGCCAGATGAATACCCAGTTTCAAGATGGGCCCAACAAGAAAAATAACAGAACACCACTCATCATCAGCTACAGCCCCCAACTTAAACCCCTCCAATGCAACATTGACAACCTACAATCTAGCCTGGAAAATGATCCGTCACGCTCACAGGCCTTGGGAGATGGGCCAGTCCTCGCCTATAGACAACCTCCCAACCTGAAACAAATCCTTTCCAGCAATCACACATCACACCTCAAACATATTCACCCAGGAACCTACCCCTGCAACAAATCCCATTGCCAACTCTATTCGCACGTCTATACAAGTGACACCATCACAAGACCCAACCACATAAGCCACCACATCAGAGGCTCATACAACTGCACATTCTCTATTGTGACCTATGCCATCGAGTGCCAGCAATGCCCCTCCTCCGTGGATGTTGGCCAAACTGGACAATTTGCATGACAAAGGATAAATGGACAGAAATCAGACACTGTAAATGGTAAGACACATAAACCTGCTGGAGAACATTTTAACCTGCGTGGTCACTCAATCATGGATTTAAAAGTAGCCATTCTTCTACAAAGGAATTTCACTAATCAATTACAGAGAGAGTCTGCAGAACTGGAATTCATCTGCAGATTTGATACCATTTCCGCGGGCTTGAATAAAGACAATAACTAGTTGATGCATTACAAAGCCAATTTCTCCTGCCTTTAACATCTGCATTTCCACATCAAAAGCTATGTATGGGACACATCCAGCCCACTTCATTAGCCTTATTAACACAGGTCCTATAGTTGACAGGTGCTACTTTTGCTGTTATATTCGGGATTGTATTGTTTCCACTCCAGCTCATCTGGTGAAGCGGGTCTTGCACACGAAAGCTCATGATTCAATATATTTTAGTTAATCTCTAAGGGGCCACAGGGTTACCCGTTGTTTTTCAAGTTACAGACTAAGATGGCTACCGCCACCCGTTGTTTTTCAAGTTACAGACTAAGACGGCTACCCCTCTGTATTATTTATAGAGCTGTGGCACATTGAAACCTGTGGTTGGTGGGAAGCTGAAATATGTAATTTAACCAACCTCTTTAGAAAGCAGAAGGTTGTGAAGCATAACTGTATAATTTCTCCTGATTATAGGGCGCACATTTGTTTCCCTACTGCCTCCTCCGTATGTGAGCTGTTTGGTTTGGTCCATGTTTTCTGTAAATGCAGTTATTTAGAGCAATGGCTGTCCATCTTTCTTGACTACTCTAGTGCCTTCAGAAGTCTGATTTGTGTTATGTATCCCTAAGCTTCACTTCACTTACAAAAGACTTGTTTAGCAATTCAGGTATAAAAATACAAAAGTGTCACAACGCACTGATATTGAAAATGGCTTAATGTCTCATTTTTATGATATAATTTTAAAATCAATCAATTGGAATAGTCAATGTTATTGACATGTCAGTGTATAGCCGCAATACCTGGCCTACAGGTCACATACCTCCCCAAACTTGCCCGACCATCGCATAATCAGAGATCTCTAGACCTGCTCAAAATGGGCAGTAGGTCCATCCTATACAAGTTTGCATTCTTTATCTTGCCAACCCACCTTCCTGATGGATTATTCCATGGAGACTGGGCAGTCGTATCAGTAGCCAGAGATTCAATAAAGCTATCAAATGTGCTGTTCTTGTACATCTCGTCTTCCCTTATGTTACAGCTATCAAACAGTGTCCACTCCATGGCCTATCTTACCTGCCAGAAAGCAAGAAGCAAAAGAATCCGCTACCTGTTAATTCAAGAAACACTTTGTGACCTTTTTTTATTTTTCAGCAAAGTGATTGCAGTATGAGAGGGAGGAGGGAGAGGAGGAATGTATGTTTCAGATTTTTTTTTTTAAAAGCCAGATGTTTTAGAATAAGGTATCATAGTTGCGCCAATAGAATCAGTCCATCCAACACACACAGGCACTCGCCTATGCAAAATACATAAATCTGCATGTAAAACAGATACTTGAGCATGCAGAGTGGCACTTGTTTATTTTGCTTGCAGAAATGTGCCATGTGTGCACCTTTGCATGTGAGCAGATTTTGCTGGTACAGCAGTATGCGCCGCCTTTGAAAACCTGCCCCCAAACTCATTTCGGCAGGTATCTGTCAGCGCCTTGTTGAATGTGTATTCAATCAGTATCTATCACTCTTGTCCCCATTCCAGGCACGGATCAGAAAATTTGGGCCGAAACTCCTACAGTTGTTGACAGAATGGACAGAAACATTCCCCTCTGATTTTCAAGAAGAGCAGATGATTGGCCATTTGAAAGACGTGATTGACAGGATAGCCCCGTGTGATGAGGTGAGAATGAAATCTCCCAGGAGCTTGTATCCCTAGTGTCACTAAATTCACCCCTCTGCCCAGTTTTCCCTTGTTTTCTTTGCTGTTGTTTTACTCATTCTGATCCATTGCTATTACTGAAGATTTACAAGGGAACCCAGATTCTGCTTTGTTTTGCTGGTAAAAATCCACAGTAGCTCTATTGAAATCAACATCTATCCATCTATCTAAGTACTCGTATAGCCATAGCATGTAGGCACCTCACAGTCATGAAGAGATTTTGTCCTGGCCACCTCCCTCTGAAGTAGGGAAGTATTATCTCCATTTTACTGGAGGGGAACTGAGGCACGGAGTAGATTATGAGATTTACCCATGGTCACCCAGGAGGCTGAGCTGGGAATGGAACCTGGGTCTCTTGCCTAACTAAACCACACTTCCTATCCAAGCAGTGCCTATTGGAGCATGCTGATGTGTTTAATGCTACACTTGTGGGATGAATCTTCTCAAGTGATTTTACTTGGCTCAATAAAACCCTTGGTGGATTGTAAAGCTCATTATCCCGGAGAAGATGAGTCCTCAGAGAGCCATGTGGGGTCATGTATAGCCAGACTCTGCCTCCTGATTATTCATCTCCCCTTCCCTTTTTCCCTTGTTCTTCTCCAGGCTTATTTCCTTGGACCCTCTCTCATTCCTGTTCCATCTCTCCTCTGTCCCCACCGTGTCTGCCCCTGTCGGCGGGGATCCTTGCTTTTTTGTCACCTTTTTTTGCTAGCAAACCCAGAGGGGGGTTTTGTTCCTTTTCCCATGCTATGGAAAGACACTCTGCAGTTTCTTCACTGATCTGATTAATATCAAGGAGCCGGGATCCAGAAACAGAACAAACACAGAGTATCCGATGCAGACCGCGCCTGATTAATGTCACTGAGATTCACCCATAAGGGCAATGGGCCTGCATGTTAGCTCATTTTATATCCTATTCACTTTAGGCCATCAAAATTAAGGCTCAGTCCAAAGCCATCAGGGATGGGACAGTGTTCCAGGGATCCTGTGTCGCTAGACCGAGTGGCCCAGGGGAGATTTCAAACACTGAAAGGGGCTCCGCTGAAAATGACCTAGCACTTACCAAGCCAGATTCACAGCTGAATTATGCTGGTGTGAACTGGGGCGCAGAGCCTATACTGCCCTCCGCCTAGGCATGGGTCCTAAGAGACCGGTGCCACTGGAAATCTGAGCCCTCTCAGGGAGAGGGCCTGGCCTACTGTATGGCAGGGACGCTTGTGACGGTAGCGGACAGGGCTCAACAGCCATGTGTTCCCACAACTCATGCTCCAGGACTTCAGCTGGCCACCGGCAGGGAATAGGCAGCAGCGTTTTCGCCTCAGTGTGTTCTGTGTTTTGTTTTGAAAATCATAGGGTGCCATAGGGCGGGGCAGGAGCAGAGCAGGGGTGGAAAGAGGTGCGGTGGGGGAGGGTGGTGGTTTGGGGGAAGTGGAAGTGGTAGGAGTGGGGGCAGGAGCAGAGCAGGGGCGGGAACAGGCAGAGTGGAGGTGGGGCTGAGGACTGGAGTGGGGGAGGGTTTTTTTCAGGCCCCGCCCCCCTCTGGGGCCCATCCTGCCAGATGCCCGAAAGAAAGTGTCTTGGCAGCACATTCATTGGCCCTAGTATGAATTAAACTGGCCCAGACACCTCTCTGCATCTTCACACCATGCTACAGAGATCCTTCCAGCACCTCTGGCCAGTGGGTCGTTTTGTGACGGGGGAATGGGAACCGAAGGCTGGCCCTCAAGGCTTGGGGCTTCCCCTCAGCATTGGGGAACCCATGCTGGTGCTCCAGACTTTCTGCTTCTCAGTTGGGGACTATGTCAGTGGGTTTGGGCTTTTTTCGCTTTTCAGTTATGTGCGGCCCCTGGCAACGTCTTCTAGGAGTGTTGCATTACGTGACTTGGAATAAAGAAGCCTTTATGGAACAGGCAGGGGGTGGGGCGCAGATTGGGGCTTCCCCTCAGCATTGGGGAACCCATGCTGGTGCTCCAGACTTTCTGCTTCTCAGTTGGGGACTATGTCAGTGGGTTTGGGCTTTTTTCGCTTTTCAGTTATGTGCGGCCCCTGGCAACGTCTTCTAGGAGTGTTGCATTACGTGACTTGGAATAAAGAAGCCTTTATGGAACAGGCAGGGGGTGGGGCGCAGATAGGCAGGGGAACATCAGAAATAGTTTTCCTGTTCAAAAATTCCCCCCTCCCCCACACACCGTAAACACGCCTGTGCCTACCTGTGATGCCACGCAGCAGTGCAAGCTCCTCCCTGACGATCCCCTGGCACCAGGGGGCTGGGAATGCAAGTGACTTTCTGCTTCTCAGTTGGGGACTATGTCAGTGGGTTTGGGCTTTTTTCGCTTTTCAGTTATGTGCGGCCCCTGGCAACGTCTTCTAGGAGTGTTGCATTACGTGACTTGGAATAAAGAAGCCTTTATGGAACAGGCAGGGGCAGTGGGTATCATAGGCAGGGGGAGGCACCGCCAGCCTGGCTCCGCCCTTTCTCCGCCCCCAGAATGCCTCCTGGGGGGTGGAATATTGTTGCTCCGGAGCAGCTGCCCTGCCCGTGCTCGAGGTTCGGGCTGTTCACCACCTCGCCTCCCCGTTGTACTGGAGGGGGGGCCGACTTGGCTCCCGGGGGGGCAGGGCCTGGGAAAAGGGGGCGTGGCCTGCGACAGGGCTGGGGTTTGCCTCCCGTGGGAGCCCGTAGGGCCAGTGCTCCAGCACTGCCGCACTCTCCTGAACGCTCCCCCGGGGGACAGGAAAATAACCCTGCGATGGCAGCAATTCACATGCCATGTCCGCTTTAAAATGTAATTCCTCGGGAAAAGAGCAGCCAGAGACTTCACACTGGGAATCATCAGCACAGACCTTCCTTCCTAGGGACAGGTCTTCAAAAAATGTCTATACTAGGGCATCGGTTTCCATGGGGGGCCTGATTCTGTATACTCTGTTCCCATCAAATTCCCCTCTCCCCCCCCATCCCAGAGAGAGTTTTGCCAAAGAACTGCAGGGGCAGGTTCAAAAGTTCCTTCCCTATTCTGCTTCGCTCCCAGACTTGAATGCACTTTGAAATGGGGAACGTTCGCTTCTTCTGGGCTTCTCCAGGGGCATTGCTGTTGTGCCACATCCCACTATGCGCACTGGCAGGACAAGATGCTAATTGCAAGACCGTGACTACGTAGCACGATGCCCTCGCTGTAGCCATTGATGTTAACGGGAGTTGTGTGCCGAAATCCACTGCCACTTGGCTGCAAATGGCAGCGAGCAGCCTGGATTGCACTGAATATTAATCTGAGAGATGAAATGCAAAGATATGACCACAAATCAAGACAGCATCCACCTTTGGATTTTACCTGCTAATAGGAATTAATTGCATTAAGCGGTGAACTTGTTTCCAAGCCATTTGCAACTGTGTATGTTTTGGGGAGAGGGAGGGGGGGGCGCAGAAATTAAAGTAGTGGTCTCCAACCTTTCTAAGCACAAGATTATTTTTTTAATTTGTCAGTCCAAGATTTACCTCAAACCCAAGTACTCCTGCCTTGCCCCTGCCTCACCTCTTTGCTGAGGCCCCGCCCTCCTTTGTGAAGATGGGGTACAGGAGAGGAGGACAGAGTGACATCAGCGCCCCTGCCTCTGTCTCCCCTGTCCTGCACAACAAGCAGGAAGCTCCCCGGGGGCATCTCTGAGGCTCTGGGCAGGAGCAGCAGGGCAGTGTGGGGCGAGGCAGTTGAAGTGTCGGCATTTGATAGCCAAACTAGTTCGGATCACCTGTCAGAGGCTCCAAGATCTACCGGTAGATCCCGATCAACTGGTTGGTGACCACTGAATTAAAGCCTAAAACCAAGCAACGTCTTCTAGGAGTGTTGCATTACGTGACTTGGAATAAAGAAGCCTTTATGGAACAGGCAGGGGCAGTGGGTATCATAGGCAGGGGGAGGCACCGCCAGCCTGGCTCCGCCCTTTCTCCGCCCCCAGAATGCCTCCTGGGGGGTGGAATATTGTTGCTCCGGAGCAGCTGCCCTGCCCGTGCTCGAGGTTCGGGCTGTTCACCACCTCGCCTCCCCGTTGTACTGGAGGGGGGGCCGACTTGGCTCCCGGGGGGGCAGGGCCTGGGAAAAGGGGGCGTGGCCTGCGACAGGGCTGGGGTTTGCCTCCCTCAGCCGTACCTTCACCCACTGCCCATGGTCACAGGAAGTACAACCTGAATACAGCATCTGTCTCAGCTGTGGAGTGAAATGCAGCCCCTAGAGAGTGGCACTTCTGAACTGAACGCAGCACGTGTGTGGTCGTTCTGCTGGAGGCCAGACTTAGATGATCGTCATGGTCCCAGCTGGCCTTTAAAACCATTGTCACTCCCTGTAGCAGTGACAGGATGGGATGCCCGTGGGCCGTGCATTCGGATTCAGGGGCCTGGCAGTGAAACGCATTCAGAGGCAGGAGGATTAAAAATAGCTTATTGCAGCTGGTCAGGAAAAGGGCTAATAGAGCCCTGAGAGTCTTTCATTACTGCTCGGTTAGCCGGGGGATGTGGAGAGGTAGGCTTTAGGCTGCAGGCGGGGGCAATCCAGTCCAAAACCAAACCAAACTGCGCAGGGCTGAACCGGGAAGGGAAGGGAAGGGAAGGGGCCCCTCCTGTCCACATGAAACAGGAGAGAAATGGAAGCAGCTGCTGCAGGGCTGGGCTGGCAGAGCCCCTGGCAATGTGCTGGCTGGCTGGGCACTGGCATCGCAGCCCTGGTTTGGCTGGCCCGGCAGCAATAAAGTGCCACAGGAAGGGGGTGGGGGAACTGCGTGACGGCTGAATGGAGCTGGATTGCGAGGGTGCTCAAGGAGAGAGACGGGGCCACATTGCTCCCATAGAGCCCCCCTGTACATGGCCATGAGCCACCCCTCCGTGGAGGAGACATCCCAGGCTGCTTGGAGTATCGGGGCTGGTCTTGCGTCAGGGTTTGCTGGACTCTCACGCAGCCTAATGGCACTGTCTA